ATGTTGTTTATATTCAAAATGATCACCAAATTATAAGAATTCCAGCAATGTAAACTATATTCTGGCTGGGTAATTTGTATGAATTTTATGAGCTAAAACAGGCAGTCAGGCAGGGTGGAGGGTGGGGGGTGGTGCGAATCTAAAAATAGCTCTCGAGCCGGACACTCACCGCGTTGCTGTGGAAAAATCCGCGTTAAGTGAAAGTTCAGCTTTGGCAAGGCACCGCGTATATGCGAAATCGCGTTAAGTGAAAGCGCGTTAAGCGGGGTAATACTGTATATATAATATATATATATTATATATATTTTATATATATATATATATTATATATATTATATATATATATATATATATATATTATATATATATACATATATATACATATATATACATATATATACATATGTATATATATATATATATATATATATATATATATATATATATATATATATATATATATATATATATATATATATATATATATATATATATATATATATATATATATATATACAGTAAAAGTCCAAAAATCTGGACTGCTTGGGGATTGGGTCGGTCCGGATTTTCGGATTTTCCGGATTCTCAGGCAGTACTTTTAAAATTAAAATTTAAGGAGGAATAAAGAAGAGATGAACAGGTACATTTTGATAGTTTATTCATTAGCAAATACAGCATGCTTCATTTATCAAAACGAGCAGTTTTAATGAAAAAGCTGTGAATTCTAGAATTTTATTCTTTGCCTTTTTGATATCATAAATTGTAGACTTTCCAATGTTGTATTTTCCATTAGAACAGTATTGCTCACACCACGTACTAGTTTCTTAATTATTTCAAGTTTGTCACTCAATTTCAACGTGTTCTTCTTTCTCTTCACACAATGAAGTTTATCTACTTTAGGAGCCATTATTATGGGCTTGTAAATACGTATGCTATATATGGTAAATGGAAAGAGTAAGACTCAAAATATTGTTCTATTCATACTATGCTTGATATAATGCATTCACGGAAATGTAATATTTTTGCTAAAATGACGTACGTATTACAGTGGAAAGTGGGATCAAATCGTGACGAAAACCATGACTTTCGCTTTCTTTCGTTCAAAAGATGTTACCGTAATCACTTTTCGAATGGTTTAGTTAAAAAACTGTTGTATTGTATTACAATAATATCCTAATTGACTTGAATAAATATTACGATACCATATTTCTGAATATTTTCATTAAAATCCATCAAAATCATTTTCTTTGTCATCGTCTGCAGCACCAAACAGCTTCTTCTCCCAGTCCTCTCCTTGAACAGGGCTAGAGGGTACGTGTTTTTCGAATCGTTTTCAGTTAAAAAACTATTACATCACACGTATATTTTACCTAAACTGCGCCTGAATGAATATATTCTCGGAAATAAATAGTAGTTTTGCTGAAAGGTGATGTATTTCAATGTAAAATAGGATAAAATACATGTCGAAAACAAAAGACTTTACCTAAGCTTCCGATGTTCTTGAGATGTTACTCGTTTTTTTAATAGTTTTCGGTTAAAATTCTGTTATATTACAATGATATTCTATTCATACTGTGCTTGATATAATACATTCACGGAAATGTAATATTTTTGCTGAAATGACATACGTATTAAAGTGGAAAGTGGGATAAAATCGTGACGAAAACAATGACTTTCGCCTTCGGCACTCGTGTTTCAGTTTATAGGACGTAGAGCGTTTTTACTGAAGGTTTTGTTGTTCGCTTACCCTCAAAAACGTGGGTCGAACTATAAACGAGGAATATCATAAATTAACGATTTCTTGGTCAAAAAATCAGGGCGACAGATAAACGAGGGGGGGTTTATAGATGATTATATACGGTATGTTGTCACAGTTTGATTGCTCGTTTTAAAGTGGAGACCACGTGGTCGCTTGTTGTCGCTGTGCAGCTGTGGCGCTCACGCATGCGCATATACACACAAAAGCCCGCTAAAAAAAAATAATAATAATTAGTTTTCCAAAAGTCCGGATTCTCGGGTGGTCTGGATTTTTGGCATCCGGATTTTTGGACTTTTACTGTATATACAGTATTACCCCACATAACGCGGTTTTGCTTAGCGCGTTTTACCGTATACGCGGTGCCTCGCCAGAGCCGAACTTTCACTTAACGCGGGTTTTTTCCAATTATACACGGTGAGTGTCCGGCTCGAGAGCTATTTTTAGATTTGCCCCACCCGCCACCCTGCCTGACTGCCTGTTTTAGCTCATAAAATTCATACAAATTACCCGGCCAGAATATAATTTACATTGCTGGAATTCTTACAATTTGGTGATCATTTTGAATATAAACATCATAGATTTTGCATTAGACATACAAATTTTCGATATAATGTTTACTGAGTAAATATGTTATCTTTTGTGCAAAATATATGACATTTATATTCAAAATATTCCTGGTCTTACAAGGAATCCAGCAATGTCAATTGTATTATCCTAACTTTAGTTTGAGGTATTATTTATTGAAATTTATTGGTTTTCCCCAAAAATTTCTCAGAGAGGGAAGAGCCAGCAGTGTAGTGTGAGAAGAGGGGGAGGGAGTCCAGTCCATTATTTGAATGGACATTAACTTGGCGACTGTATTTCTCTACTTCTCTTAAGTATTAATTGTGTGCATGTACCATCATAAAATTAAGATGTTATTTTTACTAGAACATAGGTATTGTGAAAAAGTGGAGTTTGGGGATCGGGCCAGTTTCTATTGGAATTAATCCCATATGTTCTGTTGTTCACTTAGCGCGTTTTTCACTTAACACGGTACCCTGTGGGTTTTATTGACCGCGTTAAGCGGGGTACTACTGTGTATATATATATATATATATATATATATATATATATATATATATATATATATATATATATATATATATATATATATATATATATATATATATATATATATATATATATATATATATATATATATATATATATATATATATATATATATATATATATATATATATACAGTAGTGGGGTATGCTATAACGAACGTAATTGGTTCCAGAACCTCGTTCGTTATAGCATTCGTTCGTTATAGGATTAATCCGTTCCAGGCCCCCAAATACAACCACTTAACACTGAAAAAATTCTGTGGAAAATGTAAAAAATACGGTACTTTATCTTACCTTAGTGTTATTCAGCATGCAGGTACCCCTAAACACTGGCACATCACTATCACTTCCACTGGGAGTCTTGGCTTTAAGGTCCTCAAACAATTGTTTAGCCTTCTCACAAATTATAGCTTCACTAATGTTACCACCTGCCATTTCTTTCTCCTTTATCCACACTAAGAGTAAATTTTCCATTTCTTCAATCACATTATACCTTGCTTTGCTAAGTCTAAAGATTCCCTTAGCCACTTGCACAGTTTTTAACTCCTCTTTATTCTTCAAAATCGTACATATAGTCGATTTAGCCATCCCATATTCATCACTAAGTTTCGCAATGCTTCTTCCATTCTCACGTTTCTTTATAATTTCTTTCTTAGTTTCAAGGGTTATTAGCTTTCTCACTCGCTTTGGATGACTCATTGTTACAATTGTATACTTGTATAACAAAATAGTTATACAAATAACGCGAATTTCCACATCAAAAGACGAAATTTCAACAATAACAGTGGTGCACTGGCTACACAATGAGACAAAGATGGCGCCTGACGCTCTTGTTGTGGGTCGCGGTACAACAATATTCATGTGCCAGGCGAAATAGTCCGGTATTCATCCGCGTTCGTTGTAGGAGTTGCGTTCGTTATAGCATTCTCAATTTTATAGGTAAAACCGTTCGTTATAGGAATATTCGTAGTAGGGTCCGTTCGTTATAGCATACCCCACTGTACTGTAAATTGTCAATGGAACAATGTTTAGGAAATATTTTGATAGTTTGAGGTATTTTATTACTTTCGTGTTTAGTATGTGTTTCTTTTACGTTTGATAAGTTTTGTTACTTTTGGAGTTGTTACTTGTCATTACTTTCTGTAGGTATGACATTACTTTTAGTTTATTTTTTAGATAAGTTTTTAAATTTCTATATTTTTTTTTTATATAAATTTTACGATAATTTTACTTATTTTGGTTCCTTTTAAACAAATTTTGATACTTTTGGTACTTTCGTGTGTTTTTGTTTTGACTTCTCTTAGTTCTGTAGTTTTTTTTTTTTTCTTTTAATAATTTCCCGAAGTTTAGGGATTTTAGTACTTACATATAAGTTAGGTTACTTATGTTAGTTTAGTTTACTGCCATGATAAAGTAAAGGTAGTTAGTCCTGGGTGATAACTGAGCTGCCATTAACAAGAACTTCCTAATATAGTTTTATAAAATTTATTCATATATAACATTAATATTTAGTTTTTATTCTAGTTTTTACACATTATGAATTATTCTTTTACAAATAAAGGATCCAGTTGCTCGTGTGGTGGACTACCACCTCGTTACTGCCTCGCTGATATTTAACGTAGATGGTAGTTAAGCTCTTGTCATACATTTGAGGTGATTTTTGGTAAATTATATTTAATGTAAGAATTTGAGTCTTGATTAAAAAAATTTGGCCTTTATTTAAGAATGTTGGGTTTTCATTTATGGTAAAATAGTAGTTTCACGATCAGGTGTTTCCTTGGCCAGTAATCTTATTGTATTTGGTGGCATTTAAACCTAAGCTAACCATATCTTCTTCACAAACACTAAATGTCAATATCAGCAGTTATAAGAATTAACCCTAATAGCCGTGAAATATTTTAGGTTTCCTGAAGTTAATTTACCATGTATGTTATTACCCTTAATGACTCAAGTGGTATTAGAAAGTTGTTGCAATTGACCAGATTTAACTTGTGAAGCCAAATTTGCTAGATCTTGATTGGGAGTGAGACTACAATGCCATAAAGTATCCATATTTTATTATTTTTATACAATTTATTCATATTTTGTCTTTATACTAGTTTTATTAATTTTATTTATTCACTTTACAGATGACGGCTCCAGTTGGTTACTGTAGTGTTAAGACAACTACCATATTGCTGCCTCACTGATCATAGTTAATAACTGAAGTTCCTAGTGTCAACCATTGAGGTAAGGTAATTTATTTTAATTAAGTTTAAGGGAAAATTTATTTCTTTAACCATAAGATTGCATTTAAATGTTTGGAGATTTGTGAGTTTCTGGATAATATAATACACTGTACAGTACTGCATACATATTAAATAGTATTACTGTAGTCCACAGTTCTCAAAACACTGTCATACAACAAAACTAATTAGAAAGCTGAATACTGCTGAGGAAGTTTTATTGTAAATTAAACTAAACTTTTCACCTGACATACCAACCATTGTGAGATGTACCCAGCTGTTCCTGAACTATGTGGTGAGTGTGTGGGGTTTCGTGATATGGTCTCACACTCAGGATGGGTTGGAGAAAGGAAACTAACAATGCGCGCTCTGTATATATATTGTATTGGATGTACAGTGCTGGGAAGTTGCAGCGTGGTTAGAAGCTGGAGTAGAGAGAGCTGGTTGATGAGTAGCTTGCTCGGAGGTGGTGTTGCGTGCTGCTGGGCTCAGGTAGAAGGAGGGAGGTCACAGCGCGGTTGAGAGCTTACACTGTATAGCGGAGGTAAGCATGGCTTGATGGCTGACCTGCTTTGTCAGACCACGAAGCGTTGGCTGGGGAATTCGTAAAGGGGTCGGCTAGTCAGCGACAAACTGTAGTTGTAGGGGAAATTTCCACTACAAGTGTTCCGAGAGTACTGTATAGTATAGGTGTACAATGACTACCGTATAGTATAGATGTACAATGACTACCGTATAGTATAGGTGTACAATGACTTCAGAGTATTTAATTTATTAATAGTTGTTGAAATGTTATTCATTCCAGGACGGTGACGTGAAGATGTAAGATGTGGGCCACAAGACGAAGGTTTGTTTTGGTTAACGGGTCTCTTGCTGCACCACATTGGAAACTTTCTGCTATAACATAGGGTACGGTATAGTGTATGTCTTTGTGGTTTTAGTTCTTATTAAGGTTCTGGGATCAAGTAATTATGTTAATATTTTAAGTATATTACGCTGTGCCCGTAAGTTTTAAAAGGCCTTTATAGATGATCTTAAATATGTTGACCATCTTTACTATATGAAGTTTGTTTTCACATTGTCATAATATTTGTCAAATATGCCTGACCTAATACCTTTGTCTTCAGCACTTGGGGTAAAGAAAATAGTTTAAATATCCTACAAAGGTACAGGGTACTATTTTACCTGATTTTAAATCTGGGTGCACTAATTAGTTATTGTGTTAATGACTTTTTGAAACAATTAGACATTTAAAGTAGATCACTTAAGCTTTGCCAGTATTTTTTAAAAGACCTTCATATACGTTTTAAAAATATAGACTATTGGGGTGTCGACTGCATGGAAAAGCCAGAAAACTTTACAAACAAATGGGGTATTTTATTTGGGTTTAGTTATACTTAAATATAGTTTTTTGGCACCAATCTTGCCATAAATTAATGCTGTACTGTGTAATAGGTTAATAATTGCAGTACTTTTAGGAACATACCACAACAATAATTGTAATGATCATAGTTCAAGTTAGTGATCAAATATTACAGGTTATACCTACTAATTCTGCAATGAGTATTGTCCAGTGAATTGTTCTTATAATGGACTTGTGTAAGTGGATTATTCCACATTAATAAAGGTTCATATAGGTGGATAGTGATTTATGGAGTGTTTAGGTCGACCCACGTTTGTCTCCAATATGGGGGGTTAAGGTTGTCTGTACATCACCAGGCCTGGGGAGGGTCGCTAAGGGGTCTAACATATCTTCAGTGGTCCCTCGATTAACAAACACAATTGGTTCCACAGAGTCGTTCGTTAAATGAATCTATATACTGTAGTGTTATATATTATTAAATATTAATGAATAAACTTAAAATAGTTCAACACAAAGTGTTGTTGTTTAAATTTATTTTAGTGAAATTGTAAATGCTGTCAAGCTATTCGGTTCTCAAACCACCGACTTAAGTTTAGTATTAATATATATCTATTAGCGGGAATTTAATCAATAATCAAGCATTATAAAATATAATTTATTTATATAACGTAATATTTATTAATAAAATACCTTTATTATAGTATTAATGATGAAAACTTGTATTACTGAAAGATAAGAGAGAGAATCGGACAAGGTGTAGCAGGTCAACAACAACTAACGTGGTTCTCTTGTTTATTTTTGTTAATTTTGTGAGTAAAAGTTAATTTGAGGGCCTTCCTCCCTCCCTCGTGGTAAGTTAACATATATATATGTGTGTGTATAAATGTACGTATGGCCGTGTTAAGATAATAACTAAGACACAGTACAACTAACGTGGCTGCCTTGTTTATTTTGTAAATTTTGTGAGTAAATATTAATTTGGAGGCCTGCCTCCCTCCCACGTGGTAAGTTAAGATTATTTATGTGTGTGTGTGTATGTATGTATGCATGTATGCATGTATGTCCGTGTTAAGGTAATAACTAAGACACAGTACTTGTACAACTAACATGGCCGCCTTATTTATTTTTGTTAATTTTGTGAGTAAATTTTAATTTATGGGCCTTCCTCCCTCCCTCGTGGTAAAGGTAATAAATGTTTTGTTATGTCAATGATATAAACATACGGTAGAATGTTTTATGTTATGTCAGTGATATGAACATACGGTAGAATGTTTTATGTAATGACGTTGATATAAACATCCGGTAGAACGGTTTATGTAATGATGTTGATATAAACATACGGCAGAATATTTTACGTTATTTTTTGTGATATAAACATACGGTATAATGTTTAAGTCAAAGGTTGGTTATCCGAGATGGTCCGAGTTGGTATTTGATGGGCCGAGTTGGAGGTGCACCGGTCACACTATAATAACCCGTTATAGTACATCCTTCTTTACTCACACAGCCAAACTGTGTCTGTGGATGTGGGTCACGCTATAATAACCCGTTATAGTACATCCTTCTTTACTCACACAGCCAAACTGTGTCTGTGGATGTGGGTCACATTATAATAACCCGTTATAGTACATCCTTCTTTCCTCACACAGCCAAACTTTGTCTGTGGATGTGGGTCACACTATAATAACCCGTTATAGTACATCCTTCTTTACTCACACAACCAAACTGTGTCTGTGGATGTGGGTCACATTATAATAACCTGTTATAGTACATCCTTCTTTACTCACACAGCCAAACTGTGTCTGTGGGTCACATTATAATAACCCGTTATAGTACATCCTTCTTTACTCACACAGCCAAACTGTGTCTGTGGATGTGGGTCACACTATAATAACCTGTTATAGTACATCCTTCTTTACTCACAGCCAAACTGTGTCTGTGGATGTGGGTCACACTATAATAACCCGTTATAGTACATCCTTCTTTACTCACACAGCCAAACTGTGTCTGTGGGTCACATTATAATACCCGTTATAGTACATCCTTCTTTACTTCAGCCAAACTGTGTCTGTGTGGATGTGGGTCACACTATAATAACCCATTATTGTACATCCTTCTTTACTCACACAGCCAACTACATTATAATAACCCGTTATAGTACATCCTTCTTTACTCACACAACCAAACTGTGTCTGTGGATGTGGGTCACATTATAATAACCTGTTATAGTACATCCTTTCTTTACTCACACAACTGGGTCACACTATAATAACCCTGCAATTCCTCTTTACTCACAATAACCAAACCAAAGTCTGTGGATGGGTCACAATTATAATAACCTGTTATAGTACATCCTTTTACTCACACAGCCAAACTGTGTCTGTGGATGTGGGTCAAATTATAATAACCCGTTATAGTACATCCTTCTTTACTCACAGCCAAAACTGTGTCTGTGGGTCACACTATAATAACCTGCTCTAGTACATCACCTTTACTCACACAACCAAACTGTGTCTGTGGGTCACATTATAATAACCTGTTATAGTACATCCTTTCTCACAGCCAAACAGTTCAGTTCACTATAATAACCCGTTATAGTACATCCTTCTTACTCTGTGTCTGTGGATGTATCACACTATAATAACCCGTTATAGAACATCCTTCTTTACTCAAACCAGATGTGGGCACATTATAATAACCCGTTATAGTACATCCTTTCTAACAAACTGTGCTCCAGATGGGTCATAACAACCTGATAGTACATCCTTCTTTACTCACACAACCAAACTGTGTCTGTGGATGTGGGTCACATTATAATAACCTGTTATAGTACATCCTTCTTTACTCACACAGCCAAACTGTGTCTGTGGATGTGGGTCACATTATAATAACCTGTTATAGTACATCCTTCTTTACTCACAGCCAAACTGTGTCTGTGGATGTGGGTCACACTATAATAACCTGTTATAGTACATCCTTCTTTACTCACAGCCAAACTGTGTCTGTGGATGTGGGTCACACTATAATAACCCGTTATAGTACATCCTTCTTTACTCACACAAGCAAACTGTATGCATAGGGTCACATATAATAACCGTTATAGTACATCCCTTCTTTCCTCACACAGCCAAACTGTGTCTGTGGATGTGGGTCACATTATAATAACCTGTTATAGTACATCCTTCTTTACTCCACACAGCCAACTGTGTCTGTGGGTCACATTATAATAACCGTTATAGTACATCCTTCTTTACTCACACAACCAAACTGTGTCTGTGGATGTGGGTCACATTATAATAACCTGTTATAGTACATCGCTAATAGCACACTTTCACACAGCCAAACTGTGTCTGTGGGTCACTATAATAACCGTTATAGTACATCCTTTGCTTTACTCACACAACCAAACTGTGTGTCTGTGGATGTAGATACACTTATAATAACACCTGTTATGGTACATCCTTCTTTACTCACAGCCAAGCACGGCATGCGGATGTGGTCACACTATAATAACCGTTATAGTACATCCTTCTTTACTCACAGCAGAAAACTGTGTCTGTGGGTCACACTATAATAACCGGTGCCGTACATCCTTCTTTTACTCACACAACAAGCTTGTGTCTGTGGGTCACATTATAATAACCTGTTATAAAGTACATCCTTCTTTACTCACACAACCAAACTGTGTCTGTGGGTCACATTATAATAACCTGTTATAGTACATCCTTCTTTACTCACACAGCCAAACTGTGTCTGTGGATGTGGGTCACACTATAATAACCCGTTATAGTACATCCTTCTTTACTCACACAGCCAAACTGTGTCTGTGGATGTGGGTCACACTATAATAACCCGTTATAGTACATCCTTCTTTACTCACACAACCAAACTGTGTCTGTGGGTCACACTATAATAACCCGTTATAGTACATCCTTCTTTACTCACACAGCCAAACTGTGTCTGTGGATGTGGGTCACACTATAATAACCCGTTATAGTACATCCTTCTTTCCTCACTGTGGAATGCTCTGCCTTCTTCTGTTTCCATACTCACACAATCTGTGTCACTTCAAAAAACTGGATTTCCGGCATCTTCGCAATGTAGATTAATATAACCATTTTCTTTTATATTTATATTTTATTTTTACTCGTGTTACACAAATTGATTTAGTCACTTGTAGTTTTCATTTATATAATGTACTTTTATAAGAATATCATCTAAGGCAAAATATTCTGTTTCAGTTATTTTGACGTCACATCTCAAGACCAGGTGTAACTAAGAAGAAGTTCACAATGTCAAGCAGAGATAAAAAGTTCTCATGTGAGGAATGTGGCAAAGAGTTTGGCTTCAAAGCTACTCTTCAGAAACATTTACTTAGACACAGTGGTGTAAGAGAGTTTAAATGTGAGGAATGTGGGAAATGTTTCTCCCGGAAGAGTACTCTCAAGACACACTTTCTTGTACACAATGGTATAAAGGAGTTTGAATGTGAGGAATGTGGGAAATGTTTCTCCCATAAGAGTACTCTCAAGATACACATTCTTGTACACAATGGTATAAAGGAGTTTGAATGTGAGGAATGTGGGAAATGTTTCTCCCATAAGAGTACTCTCAAGACACACAGTCTTGTACACAATGGTAGAAAGGAGTTTGAATGTGAGGAATGTGGGAAACATTTTGCACTAAAGGGTACTCTCAAGAAACACATTCTTAGACACAATGGTATAAAGGAGTTAGAATGTGAAGAATGTGGGAAATGTTTCTTCCAGAACAGTGATCTCAAGACACACATTCTTGTACACAATGGTGTGAAGGAGTTTAAATGTGAGGAATGTGGAAAATGTTTCTCCCAGAAGAGTACTCTCAAGACACACATTCTTGTACACAATGGTGTGAAGGAGTTTGAATGTGTGGAATGTGGGAAACATTTTGCACAAAAGAGTAGTCTCAAGAGACACATTCTTTCACACAATGGTATAAAGGAGTTTGAATGTGAGGAATGTGGGAAACATTTTTCACTAAAGAGTAATCTTAAGATACACATTCTTCAACACAGTGGTATAAAGAAGTTTAAATGTGAGGAATGTGGGAAATGTTTCTCCCAGAAGGGTAATCTTCAGACACACATTCTTGAACACAGTGGTATAAAGAAGTTTAAATGTGAGGAATGTGGGAAATGTTTCTCCCAGAAGAGTACTCTCAAGAGACACATTCTTGTACACAATGGTGTGAAGGAGTTTAAATGTGAGGAATGTGGGAAATGTTTCTCCCAGAAGAGTACTCTCAAGACACACATTCTTGTACACAATGGTATAAAGGAGTTTGAATGTGAGGAATGTGGGAAATGTTTCTCCCACAATGGTTATCTCAGACATCATAAACTTGTGCATGAAAAAAGCAGAATTCAATAAATGTTTGAATGACTTTAACAGAAGGTAAATGTGACACACAAACTTGAATACAGTGATATACATTAATATAAAACCACTTGAACAAACTCTATGAATGTAGCAGAAATAAAGATAAGTGACAAATGCCACTTTTATAGATATTAAACACGTTATAATTATCTGCTCTTAAGATGTAAATTTCTTCTACCATGGCCTTAGTGTAGACATTTGGTGTTGGTTAAATATCACTCATAATAATACCCCATTTTGTTTCATCAACCTTTTTAATAATGTTATTTACAGTACAGTAGTGAACAAAGGTTAAACTTATTGTCTGTGCTTAAAATTTCATCTTTAATGGATAATTGGTGCATCAATAGTTGTCATCTGTGTACATCTGTCTTTATTTACACGTGACGTAAGTTTTATCACAAGTACGTACATTAACACAGGTAGTAAATCATCTTGGTAAAGTAGTACAGTGATGGTAGACCATTTGTTATAGTCAAGGTGTTGTCATTTGCTCACAGAACCTCTTCAATCTCTGTTGAAATTGTACGTAAATATTTGATAAGTTTTGCTCAACTCTGACGAGATATTTTGATATTTTATCTTAGACTAAAATGGTTGGTAGTTTTGATTCATGTTCATACTTCAAATATATTCTTTCAACACCTACAGATATATGGTACCATTGTCTAGTAAATAATGGTTGGGGTTCATATATAGTACCTGGTGTTATGGGGCAGATGAACTTTAACACCTCTTAACTGTATATAATATCATGTTGAATATATTTTTCATTTAGCATCTTGTACATTAGTTAGGTAACTAATGTAGCCAATGCAGAAATGCCAAACTCTGGGTTAAATTTTGTTTTTTGGTCATGTTAAGTAGAAGACTTGGTTTTATTAACATACAGCAATTAGATATATGCTGTTCTCATATACAATTTAAGCTAATAGTTCTGGCTTGTGTTAATCTAACATTGGTATTTTAAAACATTATTGCTCCAAGAATGGCATTTATTTTTGTACATTAATATAGAGTTTTATGTAAATTCTGTGGACTGCATACATTAGTACAGGTCCCTATAATCTCTTGTGACTCTTATTACAGCTGCATAACGTTCACACTCACTGCACTAAGGGAGTATCTTAAGTTTTCTATTGGGTAGTGTCACAGTAAACACACTGAAGGGGTAATTTGTATGTTGTATTATACCAGAGTATCTGTGTATACTGTAATGTAAAGTGTGTACTGATAGTATTAAGGGAGAACTCAAGGTACCGCTGTATGTTGTATTATACCAGTGCTTGTGTATATCTTGTAAAGTGTGTAATGATAGTATTAAGGTCAGTTATTTTGTATGGCGAAGCAGAGACCTAAATTTATGGGAGAATGTCAGTTATGTTTGTGTGGTGCAGTGACCTTAGTTACTTGGGGAAGGTTAACTATTTTTGTATTGTCACAGTGTAGTATTTTTATTGTCGTAAAATAAATTGGTTAAAACTATTAGTTGGGGTTTCACCCTTCCTTCCACCCTCAACTTTGGTAGGTAGTAGGCAGCTACCAAACAGGGAGGTACTATTGCCTGGTAAGATATTGGAAGCATAATGTGTTGTCTAATGGTAGACCCTGCTGCCATATGGCATCACAAAAATTGTGACCAAGTCCCAGGTTGCTGATCTGACTTTCTGCCTCATTTACACACAATTGCAGGGTCTCAATTGTTTCTCTTACTATTGACAACACAACATACATATATCATTTCTCACTTTTGATCTTTTTTTTTCTTTTTTGTATTTATAGTTCTTTATTATTAAAATTATTATTATTATTATTACAGTTACTGTAGTATTATCATCATTATTTTTTTATTATATTTTTGTTTGTTTTATCATAAATTTTATTTATGAATTATTATGACAATTATTATTATTATTAATTATTATTATTTATTATTATTAATTATTATTATTATTAATTATTATTATTAATTATTATTATTATTATTATTAATTATTATTATTATTATTATTATTATTATTATTATTATTATTATTATTATTATTATTATTATTATTATTATTATTATTATTATTATTATTATTATTATTATTATTATATATTACATTTTTGCCCCCCAGGCCTCGATGTGGGTCAGTGACCTGTGTCCGGGTGGGCTAATCTCCGTAAAAAAAAAAAAAAAAAAATGAAAAACATATTCACACTGCTATACTAATCTCTCACTCCTACAGTAGACTAAACTCACACTGCTAGATTTCTTTGCCAGCTCCCCAAAGAACAACTACACATGTTGTCCTGCGGTTTGTTTGCAGCGACCATAAGTTAAGAAGTAAACCCTAGTATTAAAGTGACCAATACGTTTAAGGCGCGGAGGCTGGGACAAAAGCAGGAGGACAAGCCTCTCCCCCTCAGGATCAGTGAGGAGGAGAAATGGGAGGTTATTCAGCAGGCAAAAACCTTAGCCAGGAGCAAGGCATTTCTGAGTGTATTCATTCACCCAGATCGCACAGTAATGCAGAGGGAACAGCACAGGAAGCTCCTCCAGGGCTTGCAGCAGAAAATGGACGAGTCGAAGAGGAGCGGGGACGAGTATACATGGGTTGTATTCAGGGAGAGTGGTGGAAGCAAGTGTGCCGACACAGGGCTGGGGTACAACAGCGCACCCTCCGCCTGGGAGGTGGCACCATCTCTGCCTATCAGCTGGGAGGAGGCGAGCCCCTTGTAAACAATGACATTTCTAACCACACCCTGCAAAATACAGTGTACTTAGCAAATGCTGCAGCTTCTGAGAATGGTGGGGGGGGGTTACTACTATGAGCAGAGACGTTACCGAGAACAAATTCGGGCTTGAATGTCATGTCCACTAATACTGACACGTTCCTTGATAAGAGAAAGAGGAGTTTGAACCACTACTGAAGGTACACCAACCAGATATTGTAGGAGTTGTCGAACTGTTGTACAAGAACAGAAGAATCGATCCAGAGGAATGTGAGTTCAGTATTGCTGGATATGACTCATTTACGAACCTTTCTCAAGAAACTTGCAAGAGGGGTGTGGTGATCTATGCTCGGCAAGTTCTTGGAGCCAGCCAGGCAAGGGTACAGGGAGAGGATGTCTTTGAAGAGTCCAAGTGGTGTAAAATTAAAGTAAAGGGAAGGAACTTACTTACTTGTCGGATGTATCTACAGATCCCCAAACTGTGGCCCACTAAATCAAAGGAACTTAACAGCCTTAATACACAATGCTGCAATGCTCTACCCTACCTACCTCCTTACATGGGGGACTTTACTATGATAACATAGACTGGAGAAACGAGTTCACCCCAAATGACTTGAATAACCCTGCTACTCTTTTTGTAGAAATTATGAAAGATTTTCTGTTCCAACATGTTAGAGACCCCGACACATTACAGAGGGGAACAAAAACCCAAGCCACTAGACTTCATCCTAACAAACAAGGAGGGTATGGTGGCCAAACTGGAACACCTTGCCCCAGTTGGCACCAGACACCATATAGTGTTGTCATTCAGACTTAACTGTTACCTAGTTCAAGATAAGGCCAGGCCAAGGTGCAAATATTATAGGGGAAATTATAACGGGATGAGGGAAGAGATGGGGGGGGGTATCCACTGGCCTGACTCATTAAGCCACAAGAAGGCAGACACTAAGCTGAATATCATAACTAGTAAAGTGACCCATTTGATTGATAAATACATACCAAGACCAAACGCAGTGCCTCTAGGAATACGAGGGGTTCCCTACACATGAACCATGCTGTGGTCGATAAAGTTAAGAGGAAAAGCCAGAAATTCAAGACGTTGGTTGGATCAAATGAGCAGGACGGTCCGTCCTTCGTAACGATATTCAGGAGTGAAGTGCTTCCCCATCTGGAGTACTGTCTTCCCGTCTGGTCCACAAGATATGCTAGGGACTGTCCGTTGGTTGAAACTTAAAAGGAGAGCCATCAGACTGGTGCCTGCACTTAGCCCTTCAGCTACCCTGAGAGATCGGAGTGCCTGAACTACAGACTGGCAAGGGCTGACTAATTAAGGTGTATAAGCATCTCAAGGGGTAATA